ATCTCTAGTCATTGTGACCACTTAAGAAGTGAACCAGCTGATGAAAGATGTCTTTCTGTCTCTGTATTCTCATTCTCATTCTCTCTCTCTCTCGTCTCTTTTTTAGAGCAGCTCCCAGTGACCTAAGGAGCTGCCCTAGGCCCTACCACCTAACTTTTTCACCGCCTCCCAGCAGCACCATTCTGGACACCAAGCCTTTAACACACAGGCTTTTGGGAACAGTCAGTGTCCAAACCATAGATTATTGGAGTAATAACATGATTCTATGCAATTTAATGTCATTCCTCATTAGAAACAGGTCAGACTTACATCCATTTCCTTGGTGATGGAATTAAGTTTTTGAGTAGGTAAGTAGCTGTCCTATGTCACACAGCTAGGATGTGTTGTATTTACAACAATTCTGTAGGTCCCAGAGGAGAGGACATGTAACCCTGTCCAGGAGTGCCCTCCTGTGGACTCCCTTTCTCTGCACAGCAAATGCCTTACAACACTGACTTACCATAACACAAGTCTGTCCACAGAAATAATTTCTTAAAATGTCTGTCTAAAAATATACTGATGATGTTATGGTAACCTATATCAAGAAGCTTTAGAAACAAAATAGATGAAGTTTCTGTTACCTAGGAAAAAAAATGAGGAGCCAATATTTGGTACAAAATAAGCAGTAATTTTCGGAAGGCTTGATGAGTTCTTTGGTTCTTACCTAAAAAAAACTTTTTAGGATTTAATTGGTTTTCACTAGACCATAAGCAACTCCTATATTTTATATTTTCTTCCTACAGCATTATAGGGGGGCTGGCATTGTACTGTGGTAGGTTAAGCTACTGCATTCCATATTGGCACCAGTTCTAGTCTTGGTTGCTCCACTTCTGATCCAGCTCAATGTTAATGTATCTGGGGATGCAGTTAAAAACAAGCCAAGTACCTGGACCTCTGCCACCCATGTGGGAAACCAGGATGGAGTTCTAGGCTTCTGGCTTCAGCCTGGCCAAGCCCAAGCCATTGCAGCCACTTGCTGAGTGAACTAGTGGGTGGGAGCTCTCTCTTTCTCTCTCTCTGTCTCCCTCCCTCCCTCCTTCTCTCTTTCTCTCCCTCTCTCTGTCTCCTTCTACAACTCCGTCTTTCAAGTAAATAAAGTAAATCATTTTAGAAAAGCAGTGAATGAGAAAGGGTTTCTGTTTCACCAGATTTGCCTGAATACACTCTAGCTAGAAAGCATTTATTTGGCCCATTCTCTATTTACGTGAGAAATATAAGCAGCTCTGAGCAGCATCTCTACCTGAACTGACAAAATTACCATCTGGAGTCTGAAAATTTGAGTCAGAGGAGTCTCTAGGAAAGACACAGAACGTGCAGAACCCACCTGGTCCCCCTAATTGCCGTGGAGCCTCGTTCAAAGGCCTACTATCCAACCAAGTCCCAAAGGTCTAAGATGTCGGTGAGGAGGTCCAAGGTATTTCCTCGTAGATTACCCCAGCCAGGCCTGGCTCTTAGCAGAGCATGTCAGGGACTGCCCTAGGGAAGGAAAGGTGGTCTGCTCCTTGGTATGCCTCTGCCCTGGCTGGATGCCTGGAGTTCAATGTGTATACAGCTCATTTTATGAAACAGATGGAAATTGAGTTAGAGAAAATAAATCATATGGTCTTTCTTTTAGGGATGTCATCCTATAGGGAGTTTTCCTGTTGACTCAATGTGGCCTTCTGCCTCCTTGATTAGCCACACAGATGTGTTGTTGATATTTGACTCATGTGAGAAGTTTCTTATTTAAAGACTCTGGGGTTTCTGAACATGCAGAGTTCTGCCACTTTGCATGAGGAATTCGGTAAACTGGTTATACTCACGTTTATTCCACAGACACACACACTCACAACATAAATACAAGTACACAGCTACACGCCCAAATCATCAGCACTCCAAAATTTCTCATGCTGCACCCTCTCCAATGTTTCATGCAAAAATTAGAGCTTATGAAAGGACTTCGTAGTTCAAGTGTTTCTTTGACCATTCTTTAAATAGATACCGTAGGGGGAAAAAAAAACAGAAAATACTTACTGAATGGGCAATGATCTTTGAAATCAGACAGATCAGGACTGAAATTCCAACTTGACCCATTACAGCTCTGTGTATCTGGGCAAGTTAAATCCTCCTAGTCTCAACCACAAATTATAAGATAAATAATCTTATCAAAGTATAGGTGATACTCTAAAAATTATTCATTTTGAAAGTCAGTTATAGAAAGAGAGAGAGAGAGAGAGAGAGAGAATGAATCTTGGATTCACAGGGTCACTCCCTAGATGGCTGCAACAGCCAGCGCTGGGCAGGCAGGAGCCAGGAGCTAGGAGTTTCTTCCAGGTTTCCCACATGGATAGCAGGGGCTCAAGCACTTGGGTCATCTTCACTTGCTTTTTCTAGGCCATTAGCAGGGAGCTGGATCAGATGTGAAACATCCATACATGAACTGGTGCCTAAATGGGATGCTGGCAGTGGCCCTAACCACTATGCTACAGTGCCAGCTCCTCACCCACAAGTCCCTAAGGTTAAAACATGAGTAATGGCTACTACTTCAACAAGTGTTTATGAGGAAAGTTCCTGGAACATGGTGTATTGAACACTTCATTGGTGTGTGTTTGTGTGCATACATCCTTTTGTTTTCTTTGCTTTATGGAGAAGGACAGGGATTTTTATATATCATTTCCCTTCATAGGCACTAGAGCTTGGAAGTGGCATGACCCCAAAGGATTCATTGTCGATAGCACGATCCTTAGTGTGGCGATGTTGAACAATGAACGGACCTTCAAGAAGGGGGGCCAAGTAGGAGGTTGTCCGTGACTTTTCCTGTCTTGCCATGAGGCCCCTCCCTCACATCATGATGTCATCCACCATGATGTGACCCAGCCAGAGGCCTCTTACCAGAGGCCAAAACTTCAGACCTTCAGCCTCAAACACTATGAGCTATGCAAACTTATTTTCTTTATGAAGTACCCAGCCATGGGTATTCTGTTATAGTACTGGAAAATGGATGAATACATCAGGTGGCTATCCACATGTTAAATGGTTTCTTGGCAGAATATATAAAGCCAAGTAAACTGCATCTTTGGACAGCCAGACCTCTTATCTGAAAAGCAGAATCCAATCTCAGAAAACAAGGGAAAAGAGATGAATATTGATTGAGCACCCACACTACATTGGTCACTTAAAATAAATTTTCTTCATCCTCAAACCAAATGAAGAAACTGATGTTCTAACAGATTATATTTTTAGCTCAAGCTACCCAGTTTATAAGTGGCAGTGCTGCAATTGCCACCCAGGCTGGTGGATCTGGATCTAAAGACTGGGCTTAGTTTTGCCTCGTTGCCTCTTGCCTCCTCAAAGCCAATTATTTAAAATGTAGGCAGTCACACCACAACAGTAAAGATGAATAGACACAAACAACACAGGGCCAGAATTCTGAGGAGGCCCTTCCAAGACAGCAGAACACAGGCATAATAAATCAAGCATCAAGACTAGTTAAAAAACACACAGAGAATAGACTCCAAAGAGGCCGACATGCATATAACAGACAATCCCATCGTGTTCCTGAGATCAGAGCATGAAAAGTAGCCAAAGAGAGCCTTGGAGATGTGTCAACCTCATTTGAAACTGGAGAGCAAAGACAAATTGAATAGCCAAGTCTTTGCACTTCAAAACTTAAAAAAGTGGACAGTCTTTGGCTGGAGTCAACTCCTATGATGAGCCAAAAGAGAGATGACCTTGATTAACATTTTCTGCATCATCAAAAGGAAAGAGATCACGATAAGGTCATCATAAACTGATCTACTGACCACAACTAGCTGTTAAGAGAGTCCTCGGCTGTTCCAAGGTATTCAGGATTCTTCCCTGAGGGGCCGTGTAACCTCCAGAAGCTTCTGCCTTCCTATGAGTATTAATAAAAACGCTCAATCTCTCACTAGTGATTTTCAGACACCCGGTATTTTTTTCTAATGACATGGAGGCACAACAAAATAAAGACACCATTCTTTTCTATTTTCTGAGCTCAGTTGCTGCTTCTCTTGATTAGGGGTTCATTACATACGGTTTCATCTCAGTCCAGGGAGATGGCAGAGGAGAGCTGAATGGCTGCTAATTACAGTCACCTGAGGAGTTGTCTTTTTAAAACATATGATTCCTGGCCCCGCTGCAGAATCAATGATCGCACATCCCTAGGAGGGATGAGCCCAGGAATCTGTATTTTTGAAAGAGTTCTGGGTGATTCTAAAATGCAGGAGGGTCAAAAACACAGGATAGCGCCAAGCACCTAGGCTCTGTCATTGAGATCAGTGGCTGGGATTTGAAAGCTGGCTTCATCATATACCAGCTGTTTGACCACCAGGAAGACACTCCACTTTCTAAGAGTCACTTTCCACTTCAATAAAGTAAGGATACTTGGACTGTGAGGGTCAAATGACAGATCCACCAAGGGCTTTTATAAGCTACAGACACTAAAACTAGGATGATTTACCATTATGCCTAACATACGTATTACTGAAATGGAGTATGTTTTGCAGATAAATATAAACTATGATTCCTAGGAGACTGTACAATAGCTTTTATTTCTTTAAGACTCTTCTTTTACTCTGAGGCTTTGAGTAAGGCCATCAAAGTCTAGCTAACTTGAATGAGTAAATAAAAATAATTGAGATCTCTTTAGACTTTTAGTGGTAAACAAATTTGAAAATGTATTTCTCTGGATGATAGAAAGGATATCCTCTGAAGCTGAAGAGTCTGTGGCTCGTGCTACTACAAAGTTTATCCTCCTACAGAGAAAAGCATTTGCCTTCAGAACACAGCAGTGAGTTTGTGTGATAGTAGCTGAGGCATGCAGTACTTACTGCACCAAGAAGTAAATATACTTATTTATTCTTGAACAGTCACTATTGATCACTGGGTAGGAAGTCAAAGTAGATGCTTTATCTAAATTACCTATGATCAATTGATTTGAAAGGTGATGAAGATTAAGCCATAGGCAGGAGTTTGCACAAAATTAGCCCAAGAAAATAAGCCATATTCCTGAAGGATCAAAATCACCTAACTGAAAAAAAATCACAAATATATTCAGACCATGATGCATGTCCCATTAGAAATATTGAAATGCAATATTCACCGGCGGGAGCAATGTTTCCGAGAGCGCTGGGTGCTCGGCGGGTCGGGGTAGCCCTAAGCCGGGCGTCATGCCCTGCAACATGCGCACCACGCTCATTTTCGGTGGCTTCGTCTCCCTGATCGGCACCGCCTTTTACCCCATCTACTTCCGGCCCCTAATGAGGCTGGAGGAGTACCAGAAAGAACAAGCCATAAATCGGGCTGGAATTGTTCAAGAAGATGTGCAGCCTCCAGGGTTAAAAGTGTGGTCAGATCCATTTGGCAGGAAATGAGAGAGGCTGTCAGCAACTCTGATTACGAGTATAGACATCTGCGTGCTTTCGATGTGGCAGGGACCATAATAAATCACCTGGCTATCGGATGAAAGCTGGAGAAACAAACTGCAATGCCATCAATAAGATGACTTGTAATGAGAGACTGTGCCCAAGGATTCACATTAAGTATCCAAAAGAACCCTGGAATAAATTACACCGTTAGCAGGTTTTCATGATTTGGTTTGCCTTCCCCCAAAATGAAGCCATCTCCCCTCGCTATGTTTGGAGGGGACCTGCTTATTATTCAGCCTTTACCCTTGACAGAGCTGTGATGTGCATACGAGCAACCAGGAAGGGCCTCGGCTGTTTTGCCATCTTCCAAATAAGAGACTGCGCCGCGCCGGCGCCGCGGCTCACTAGGCTAATCCTCCGCCTTGCGGCGCCGGCACACCAGGTTCTAGTCCTGGTCGGGGCGCCAGATTCTGTCCCGGTTGCCCCTCTTCCAGGCCAGCTCTCTGCTGTGGCCAGGGAGGGCCGTGGAGGATGGCCCAAGTACTTGGGCCCTGCACCCCATGGGAGACCAGGAGAAGCACCTGGCTCCTGCCATCGGATCAGTGCGCTGCGCCGGCAGCGGCGGCCATTGGAGGGTGAACCAACGGCAAAGGAAGACCTTTCTCTCGGTCTCTCTCTCACTGTCCACTCTGCCTGTCAAAAATTAAAAAAAAAAAAAAAGAAAGAGAGAGAGAGAGAGAGATTGCGCCGAAAACCCTCCCTGCTGGACCTGGGGCTCTTCTAAAACGTCCATGTTGGAAAGGCTCTCTGGGGACAGGGTAGTGGGGCTGTTTAGGAATAACCAGTTCCGCTTACCCACGGCTCCTGGAAGGTGGCTCTGCATTGGAAACTAAGTTACTACAAAGCCCATTCAGCTGTGTATGCCCATGTGCATGGTCCAAATCACGGTGAATTAACAGGAGCGCAAATATGCATACAGTAAAATGATTTATTTTTAATTCACAATGGCCTTCAAGTATTTTTTTGTAAACTCTTAAGTACCAAGAAGCATTCTTGGACTAGAAATTTGTGCAGTGTTCTGTTTGTACAAGTGAACATTTTAAAGGTAACTTGCAATTTGGTGAGGCAGGTGTTTGTGGAATCATTGTCTACCAGGTCCCTCACCAGGTGTTGCTGAGAGGAGACTGAAATTCCTCTCCCCCACTCCCGGCTCCCTCCCTCCCTCCCTCCCTGTCTCTCTACTGCTCATTCTAGCCCCTTTTAGATTATATGTTTCTGAAAAGGTGCCTTGCATATGGCTGTAGGCTGTCTTTAGATGAAATGGCTATTGGCATAATTTTATTCTTGGGAACTTAGAGTTTTCTTAATAGATAACTGACTCAGTTATGCAATTCCTGCCAAAATGAAAGGAGATTGATGGTCCTCAAAGCATGTCACCGTGTCTGGTACGCACTCCCTGACGTTTAATTGACGTAGGGATAACAGCTCAATAAAGGAAGTTGACTCATAGAGGTCCATTTGACCACTGTTTGCTTTGGTGGGGTCACCAAGAAGTTAACACAGCAGAGTCCGATGCTTCTGAGTGTAGCCAGTGCGTGGCACCACCTGTGGTGGGGGATGGCCGGGCTGACACGGCTGCACCTGCGCTCTGTGGAAGAAAACCACAGGGCCTCCACCAGCCATCTTGCTGGACCAGAGCCTGGCCTGGCCCGCCTCCCTGCAGAGAGAAAGGGGCTGAGCATCCCACCCAGCTGCCTGGAGGTGCTCGGAGACGTCACTTCAGACTCTGCTGTCCACCCGTGGCAGATGCTGGCGTGCAAGGCATGCTGTCCCTGGGGACTGACCCACGGCCTTGCTGTTCCTGCTTGGGCGACCCAGGGGCACCCCAGGCTGATACCTGAAGCTCTCGAAAGGGCGCAGCTCAGTCACGTGCCTTTGGGAAAGCGTTAATAAAGGGGACGAGGTGTATTAGCTTGTCATTCGATGATTTCCAAGACAGGCATAGCATGGCCAGGTGTAGTTGATGACAGCATTTCTCGCAGTTTATCTTCTAGGACTGGAGCTAGCAGCAGAAGACTTTTGGGGGAAGTCTTCCTTAGACCAGTGGTTCTTAAGCTTTCTGGTCTCAGGGCCCTGTTACACTCTAAAAAATTTTTTGGGGTGGCCCAACTCTGTGGCAGAGCAGGTAAAGCTGCTGCCTGCAGTGCCAGCATCCCGGGTGGGCACCAGTTCTCATCCCAGTTGCTCCACTTCTGATCCAGCTCCCTGCCAGTGCACCTGGGAAAGCAGTGGAAGCTGAGCACTTCCTCTGCGTGGGAGACCCAGAGGAAGCTCCTGGCTCCTGGTTTCAGATTGGCCCAGCTCCAACCGTAGGCGGCCATAAAAGAAGTACATAAATCTTAAAAAAAAATTGTTTTTCAAGAGCTCCAAAGTGGTTCTATTTGTGTGGCTTATACTTACAGATGCTTACTCTATTAGAAACTAAAAGAGAACATGGGAAAATATTTATCAAATCATTTAAAAATATAAGTAACAAGCCCCTACAGAAAAAAGGCACATAAGCAAGTCTAGTACCTGCTAACACTAACCGATAGAATAAATAAAGGGGAGAGTGATCCAACATGGGAAGTGAGATACTCAGCAGACTCATAGAATGGCAGATGCCCTAAATAGCACTCTGGCCTCAGAATCAGCCCTAAAGGCATTCAGATCTGGCTGAAAAGCCCATGAGAGTATTTCAGGCATGGAAAGCCAAGACACTCTGGCAAAAGATCTCTGTGAGTGAGATCTCAGTGGAAAGAACAGGTCTTCAAAGAAGGAGGTACCTTTCTCTGAAGGGAGGAGAGAACCTCCACTTTGACTATGACCTTGTCTAAACAAGATAAGAGTCGGAGAACTCAAGGGGCTTCCATAGCCTTGGAAACTCATGACTGGAGCAGAGGGAGATTACTGATGCCATAGACAGGAGTGTCAATTGGTAAAGTCAACAACAGGAGTCACTGTGCACTTACTCCTCATGTAGGATCTCTGTCCTTAATGTGCTGTGCATTGAGATTTAATGCTATAACGAGTACTCAAATAATATATTTCACTTTGTGTTTCTATGGGGGTGCAAACTGTTGAAATCTTTACTTAATGCATACTAAACTGACCCTCTGTTAAAAAAAAAAAAAAAAAAAAAAGAAAAAGAAAAGAAACTATCAACTCCCAACTTGACTCTCACTGGGATTAAACATGACAATAGGTCTGATCTGATTTCATCATCATTAAAAAAAAATCATCTATTATTTTTCACTTTATGTTTCTGTGTGGGAGCAAACTGTTGAAATCCTTACTTACTGTATACTAAGCTGATCTTCTGTATATTAAGATAATCGAAAATGAATCTTGATGTGAATGGAAGGGGAGAGGGAGTGGGAAAGGGGAGGGTTGTGGGTGGGAGGGACGGTATGGGGGGGAAGCCATAGTAATCCATTATTCGTACTTTGGAAACGTATATTCATTAAATAAAAGTTAAAAAAAAAAAAAAAGACAGACAAAAAAAAAAAAAAAAAAAAGAAAAAAGGCAGTTTGCGAATCTGAAGAGACTGGATTCTCACAGCTGGCGCTGCCTCTGATCTGTCACTACACCACACACGTGCCCCCAGGGAAACTCCGCCATCCTCACTGCTTAGAGGGTTAGTGAAACCATCGGAGATGCTGTCCAGGTGTTATAATGTGGATAGGACCACATAGACCTCCTGGGAAAGCCTCAGAGACCCCTGGAGGTCCCTGGCCTGCATTTTGAATCGTTTTGTCCCTCTTGGATCGAATCAGCCCTTTGAGAGTTGTGTGGCCAAGTTGCATTAGTTCCATCCAAGAGTTACCCATGCTCTGGCCTGTCCTCGTTGAGAGAGACTGTAAGAGAAAGGGAGAAGCTGACTATTTCTTACTTTTGTAACTGAAATCAAGTTGTCGGGGTTTCAATGTTGAACCATATCCCCCATGGGAAGACTTGGAATGAAAATAAATTCTGAGATCCAGAAGCGGCAGCACTGCCCAGTCATTGGTACCTGTATCCTGTGAACGTTCAGTTCTATAACTTGATTCCCTCTTTGTGTTGCCTGATAGGAAGCTCAACCATATTTGTGGTCCAGCTTTTTACAAAGTGCCTAAGACCTTTTGAGGTGCATTTGGACCCTTGGGTTTGTTTCAGCCTCTCCCCCCACCCAAGCCCCTCCACCCCATGTATTGCTTTCTGCCATCTCACTTCAGTATTGTTTTAAATTGTCTCTTAGACCCCTCATTTTAAAGTGAGTCTGGGCATTAATAATAAATATTCAACTGAAAAACCAAAAAAATGCAATATTCAACAAAATTGGATGATGATTTGGAAAAAGAAAGAAAACCAGAGACTTATTTCCTGTTTCTAACTCAACAGTACCATGTAGGATGCAGAAAGTTACAACCAACATTTCAGTGGCTTTGTAAAGCTTATGAATAAGGAAACTGGAGGCCCAGAGACAAGACCAGAAAGCGGTACACACCAGTGACAGAACTCCAGGCCTGTTAGCAAGTTTCCTGCTTCGTGGAAGTCAGATTGAAGGGATCAGCTATGGCAAATAAAAGAGCAAGGAAAGATAAGGTACCTCAGGGGGGTGACACACATTATGGAGAACAATAGAGCCGGAAAAGGCAATTGTGACTGCTATGAGGAATGGTCCCTGCATAGAAAGACAACCTCACTGTTAGCAGAGCTAGGGGAAAACAGGGTTTGAACCACACTGATGATCAGGGAAGGCATGCTTGGCAGAAAGAACAGCAAATGGCACTGACCTTGATGGGCAGCAGAGTGCTTGGTTTGTTTGAGAAATAGGAAAGACTCCAGAACACAGTGAGCAGGAAGAAGTGCCAGATGGGGTCAAAGTGAGGTAGCAAGCGACCGGTCATGTTGACCCATGGAAATCATTCTACAGCTGCTCAGGGGGTTCCTGGAGTTGGGTAGGCAGCTGCTGAAGAGACATTGTGACATGATACGATTAAATATTAAGTTGCTCTGGCTATTGTGTTTGGAATATGTGGGAAGGGGGTAAGGACTTGGCTTAGTCCTTTTTGGCTACTGCAACACAATGTCATAGACTGGTTGCTTATAAACAACAGAAATCTATTTCCTATAATCTGGAGGCTTGGAAGGCCAAGATTCAAGTGCCAGCAAGTTGAGCGTCTGCTGAGTTCTCTTTCCTGACGGCTGGGATCTTTTCACTCTAACCCCACAGAGCAGAGAGGCGAGGGATCTCTCTCAAGTCTCTTTCATGAATGGTACCAATACCATCCACTGGCCTCCACCCTCATGGCCTAATCACTTCCAAAGGCCCCACTCCTAAAGCTAACACCTTGGGGTAAGGATTTCAACAGATGAATTGGGGGCAGGAGGGACACAATCATTCAGATGGCAATGGCAGCAAATGCAGGTTTGCAGTTCAGAGTTTACCACGATAATCTCTATCAGCAGTGATCATACTTTGAAGCAGGGTGATGGTGGTAGCTGGCTGAGAAGGGTCAGATTCTGAGTGTGAGGCAGATGCACTTTGCTGACCGATATGGAGGGTGAGGGAGAGGAGTCAAGGGTGACTCAGCTTTGTGGTGCCTCACACTACTCATAAGTTGAATAGGAAGAAGACTGAGAATTGATCATGGGATGCAGGGACTTGGGTAGGGTGGAAAGGAAGAACCCTGACTGTGGAGGATTGAAGGGAGGGTGTGAGGAGATCCGCATACCATGAGGACAGTTAATTCATCCAAGGAGATGTGCTGGGGAGGAAGTAAGTAATGGGCTGGCACAAAGGATGGGTCCCAGCAAGTAATGTCAATCAACATGTTAACAGACTAGTCTTAGCTGGCAGGAGTTGAGTAAACTGACTTCTTCCGTTCTCCCTCACTCCCCCTCCCCAGATGTGTGGAAATACTAATCCTGAAAATGTTCACCTCTTGAATTAAAGGAAATTTTTAAATTTTACCAAAGAAAA